ATGGCGCTGGAGCGGCGGGAGCCGAGGGGGCCGGGCCGCCGCCTCGAAGGGCTCTTGCCAGGCACCAGCAGCGCCTGCGGGGCGCCGTTAACCGGGGGGACACCGGGAACCGGGGGGACACCGAGCGGGGACAGCGAGGTACCCACCTCTTCCACCGAGCCCAGCCCGATGGCGCTGCCGCGGCGTCCCCGGCGGCTCCCGGGCACCAGCAGCGACTGGGGGCGGCAGCGCGTCAGTACCGGGGCCACGGGGAGGGGGGAACCGGGAACCGGGGGGATCGCGAGGGGGCGGAGCCAAGGACCGGGTGGGAGGGGCTTCGCGTGAGGGGCGGGGAGCGCGACCTGAGCGGGGCTTATGCGAGGTGGGGGCGTGGCCTCAATGGGTGTGGTTCGATGGGAAATGGGCGGAGCTTGAGCGCACGGGACCGTTCCGGTCCATGAGGGGGCGTGGCCTGGGCTGGGCGCGGCCTCAGGAACTCGCCCGCAGATCGGCTGCGCGCGCAGGGGGCGGGGTCAGTGCAGAGGGGGCGTGTCTTGGGCGGGGGGGACCCGGGGAGGGGACCCGGGGAGGGGACCCGGGGAGGGGACCCGGGGAGGGGACCCGGGGAGGGGACCCGGGGAGGGGACCCGGGGAGGGGACCCGGCCCCGCAGGCGTCAGGGGCGGGGCTGAGCCCCTCAGTGCTGCGTGGGGGCGTGTGGGGGGTGCGGGATCCCCGCGCCCCACCTTGAAGGACTCGAAGAAGCCCGGGGCGGCGCCGCCGTTGTCGGGGCGCTCGTCGTCGGGGCCGAGCCCCAGCATGGCCTGGCTGCGAGCCTGCAGCTCCTCGTGCAGCGTCTCCAGCAGCGCCGCCCGCGTCCGCTCCTGCGCACCAGCCCCGCACCGCTGCGCCCACGCGAGCCCCGCACCCGGCCCCGCACCCGGCCCCGCTCCCGGCCCCGCACCCAGCCCCGCTCCCGGCCCCGCTCCCGGCCCCGCTCCCGGCCCCGCTCCCGGCCCCGCACCCATCCCGCAGCACACGGGACACCCACACGGGACGCCCACCCTGCAGCGCTGCACGCCCTGGGGGCCTCCCCTCGCAGCCCCCTCCCCACCGCGCTGCCGCCCCTACCCCGGGCACCCAGAGGGGAACCCGGCCCCTGCCCACCCACGGCCCATCCGTCTGCACAGGTCCCACCGTGGGCTCGGCCCCCACATCCACAGCCTCGTGTTGTGCCCCACGCCTTGCCCAGCCCCTCTGGGTGCCCCCCAGCACCCCGTGCCCATCCCGCACCCCCTGCCCGCACCTCCAGCTTGGCGAACTTCTCAGCTCGGTAACAGGCGTACTCGGCGTTAATGAGCTTGGTCAGCAGGAACTCCTGGAACTCGGGGCCCTGCGGAGTGGGGGCGGTCCTGGGTGGGTGCGTGGCTGGCTCGGTGTCACCAGGGACCCCCGGGGGGCTCCCAAGGGCTCTCACCTTCCTGAAGACGGCGGGGTCGGGCAGCGGCGGGCCGAAGAAGGGCACGTCGTCACGGGCGGTGACGGAGACCTGCGGCGGGTGTGAGGGTGACGGGGCACCCTGCGGGCCCCCATGGGGACGGGGACACTGAGGCACGGGAGGGTACCTTGTAGAGGGTGCCCTGGGAGCCCCCCTGCTCCAGCTGCACCACCACGAAGGCGTGGAGGAAGTTGGAGGCGATCATGTCGGGGACGAACGGTGTGTTCTCATCCTGGAAGACGATGGCCACGATGTCGTTGCCGATGTGACGCTTCCGCTGCAGCTGTGGGGGCAGGTGGGATGCGGAGGGACGTGGGGGCACACAGCAGGACACGAGGGACAGAGGGTGGTCACACCGGGGACATCAAGAGCAATGAAAGCCCCTGTGCGCCATAGGTGCACCCCAACACCCACAGATGCTCCACCAGCCCCCTGCATCCCACAGCTCCCCCCAGCACCCACAGGTGCCTTACCAGTCCTCTGCATCCCAAAGATGTGTCCCCACACCCATGAGTGCCCTGCCACCTCCCGAGCCCCACGGATGTCCACCACCACCCATGGATGTCCCAGGAGTCCCCTCCATTCCATGGGACATCCCCAAAGCCCCAACAGCCCTTCCACCCCATAGGAGTGCCCCAGGACCACCTCCAACCCCCTGCTCTAAAGCACACAAGTGTCCCCCCCGTTCCCCCTCCTTTCACCCCCCCAGCACCCATGGGTGCCCACCTGCTGGGCATCCCCCTCGGTGTAGGGCAGTTTGGTGGAGACGTGGAACATGATCTCCTTGTCACGGAAGTGGCAATAGACCGACTCGCTGCCTGTCTGTCCGTGGGTCACATCCAGCCCCCCTCGGAACCTGCGTGGGTGGGTGGGTGAGATGGGCACCCTGACCCTGTGGGTCCTTCCCCCCAGCGTCCCCTCACGCACCCCTTGAAGTCCCGCAGCTGCACCCGCTGACCCAGGACCTCGAGGAATTCGGCGAAGGCCGGGCTCTCCTCCGTGGTGCCGAAAAGCTCCTCCTCGGAGGTCTGCAGCGGGGTGGGGATGGGTGCCAGCACCCACCCAGGGACCCCCCCCACCCAAACCCCCACCGACCCCACCCCATACCTGCCCCAGTTTTTGGTAGATGACCCCAAATTTGAAGTGGTTGCTGAGCACGTGCTCGTCAAAGGCGAGGATGAGGCGGGATGCCTGCGGGGTGGGGGGCGTCAGAAGCTGGGGAGGAGCACCCATGGGTGCCCATGTGCCCCCTCCCTGCGTCCCGTTCACCTTGGGATAGAGCACAGGGTAGAAGCGATCCACGTTCACGTCCTCGCACACCAGCTGTGGGAGGGAGGGGTGATGCTGTGGGGGGCTGGGGCTGGGGGGCACCCATGGGTGCTGCTGGGAGGCGGGGTCACACCCACCTTGGCCATCTGCACCACGTTGGGGAACTCGGCCAGGCAGGAGATGGGCACCACATCATGCAGGGTGCGGGCACGGGTGCTGCGGAGCAAGGAGGGGGTCAGGGGGCCCCCCCCACCCCCGGCAGCTCCCACGGGTGCCTCCCACACCCTGCTCACCGCAGCAGCAGGTGGAGGTGCTCCTGCTCGTCGTACTTGAGGGAGAAGACGAGGTGTCCCAGCGCCGGGTCCAGGGAGTAGTAATTGAAGTGCTCCTGTGGGAAGGAGCCAAGCAGCCATGGCCGAGGGTGCTCATGCTGGGGGCGCTCGTGCCGTGGGACACCCGGGCCCATGAGCACCTGTACCCACAGGTACCACCTGAGGGGCACCTACACTCAGGGAGCCACACACACCTTGGGGCGTCCAGGTCCTCTGGACACACAAACCTATGGAGCCCCGTGTCCATGCAAACCTATGGGGAACCCGTGTCTGCGGGCACCATGCCAGGGGCTCTCCTGCCCGTGGAGACCCAACACCCACCTCCTTGACCACCCACCCCACGGAGCACCCACGTGCACAAGCAGCCACGTGCCAAAGCACATGTGTTTATGAGGTGTCCGTGTCCTTCCATTCCCATGGAGAACCCACCCCACGCACCCTTGTCATGGGGCAGCCGTGCCCAGGGCTACATCCATGAGCACCCATTTCCATCACCCATAGGGCTCCCATATCCACAGATACACGCACCTACATCCACGAGCATCTGTGAACATGAGCACCCATCCATGGGGCTCCCATTCCCATGGACACCACACCTCCATCCATGAACACCTGAGCTTGTGGTCTCCATGCTCCTGCCCATCCATAGCCATGGGATATCCCCCCCACCCCAGACCCCACACCTGCAGCACCCTTGGGTGCTGGGCCTCACCTTGCCCAGGAAGTGCTTGCGGTAGATCTTGGCCGTGTGGTTGCCCTCCAGCTTTGCCCGGGTGCCAGGTGCCGGAGTGGGGGGCGATTCAGGGGCCCCGCTCAGCTGGTGGTTGGTGCCCTCAATCCAGTAACCCCCGAACTGCGGCAGGAGGATGAGGGGGAACGGCCCCTCCCGGCCCAGCACCTGCACCCACAGCCACGGTGGGTGCTTTGGGCACCCAGCCACCAGCCCACCCACCCAGCCACCGCCCCTCGCAGCCCTCCCTGGAGAGGGGTGGGTGCTCTACCTCATGCACGCTGGGGTAGGGGATGTAGTCCTCCTCTGTCTGCAAGGCAAGGGGTGGTGACAGCCACGCTCGCACCCATGGGTGGTAGGATGGGCCATGCCCATGGTGGCACCCCAGGGGTGCCCCCACCCCAACACCTACCTTGAGTGGCGGGGGGATGGCATGGCGCTGCTGAGCCATCCTGCTGCTCTGGGGAGAGAGGGGCTGTGGGTGTCTGTCTCCCTGCCTTGGGGCGGGCATCCTTGGGCGGGGGGAATCCATGGGTGCTTACCTCGGGGTTGGGACGTGCTGCTGGCTGGAGACGAGTCTAGGTGGTGTGCGGGGGTCCAGGGGGGCCCATGGCGCTTCCTGGGGGAGAGGAGAGCTCCCCCACAGCCCCTCTCCAGGATGCCCGGCCAGCAGCCTTACCCCTGGAGCCAGCTGATGGCAGCGAGCCAGGTGTCACCCTGCCGGTGCCAGGGCCAGCGGAGCGGGGTCACCCCATGGGGGCACTGAGACCCCCCAGACCCAACCCCGCCCCGAAGGGCGCCCTCTGCCGGCGGGAGGCGGCGGCGCGGGGCAGCACCACGGACAGCGCCGGGACCCCGCAAAAGTGTCACCGATCCCAAGTGTCACCGATCCCAATTGTCACCGATCCCAAGTGTCACCGACCCCGACAAGTGTCACCCACCCCGTGAGATGTGATCCTGCCCGCGCCAGTGTCACCGACCCCGCGCCAGTGCCACCCTCCCCATGAAAGTGTCACTGACCCCGAGCCGGTGTCACCGACCCCGTGCCCGGGGTCTGTCCCCGTGCAAGTACGATCATTGCCGTGCCAGTGTCACCGGCCCCACGCCAGTGTCACCAGCCCCGTGCAAATGTCGCTCTCGCTGTGGCAATGTGAGCATTCTCGTGCAAACGCCACCGTCCCCATGCAAATGGCACTGTCCCCATCAAACACACCCCGGTGCAAATGTGACCCGGCCCTGTGCAAACAATGACGCGCGAGTGTGTCCCTGGTGCAAAAGGGACCCTCGTGCAAATGTCACCGTCCCTGAGCAAACACGGCACCGGTGCAAACGAGCCCCGTTCCTGTGCAAAGACAACCCCGGTGCAGGTGTGACCCGTCCCTGGGCAAACACGGCGCTGGTGCAAACACAGGCACAGCCAAGCACAGCCCTGCTGCAGGTGCGACCCGTCCCCGTGCGAGTGCGACCCGCCGGTGTCCCCGTGCCAATGCGACATTGCCATCCGTCCCCGTGCAAACGCGACCCTTCCCTGGGCCGCAGCGTGACCCCGCCGGGCTGGGGGCGGCCCTGGGGGGGCTCCCCTATCGCTCCCCACACCCCCCGGCATCCAAGGCGGGGAGGGTGGGGGGAGCACCGGGGGGGGGGGGGGGGGGGTCTAAAGGTGG